ATGTATGAAGATGAGAAAACATAGTTTTCAAGTCTTGGAAATAGTGCATCTTGTAATGTATTATCTAGACCGACAATTTTCAAGATTTTCAATTGTATATAGATCTACTCAATCAACACTATTTTTAAATCTTTAAATTTTATAATTAGAGATAAAAATAAATTTTCAGGCAATTACAAAGATTTACAATTACTAAAACAATATCTTTCGACACTATTTCAAGGTGCGACTTACGTTGATTAGTTAGGGCCTCAACCTTAAACAAACCACACCCATATGTGGTTTAGAGAGTCTAACAGAGAGAATATCAGAGAGGATAACAGAGAGAATGAGAGAGCAATACTAGAGAGTATAAACCAAACAGAGTAATAGTCTAGCAGAGAAACTTACTGTTTGCAAAGACAATAACTGGAAAACAATTTCCAGTGATGTGGGCAGTATGAGGGAAGAGTTTTGAGATTACAGTCACACATAATAAATTGAAAAAGGTAAAGATAGAACCTGGTTATTTGAGCTATGAAGGTCAGGATAGCTCTGATTGCAATATTACTTCGGGAAGACGGTTGTCTCATAAGAAGAGATTTGCAGATAGAAGAAGGGAAGAGGTGAAGAAGGTTGAAGAAGTGAGAAGGTTGAAGGTTTTGAGAAGGTTGAAGGCTTTGAAGCTCTTCTAGGATAGAGAGCGAGATGAGAAGAAGAAGAGTGTAAGAGAGAAGTGGAAGACCCTGCTTCGAATGAAGAAGGTTGGGTCCTTTTATAGAGGGAGGTTGCTTCCTTGTTAAGAAAGGAATAAAGGAAACGGAGGAAGAGGACAAGAATGAGAAGACTTAAAAGAGATTCGCCAAAGTGATAAAGGGTAAGTGAGAAGACTTAAAGAGATTCGCCACAGGGGTAAGACGAAGAAGACAAAAGGAAAAAAAACAAAAGAAGGATGCTTTTCGGGCATCTTGTACAGTGTATTTTTTGTCCATATTGAATTATGGCTACAGTAAGACATCTGGAACAGTGTTCCTTGTCGGTGACGTGGTCACTGTTTGTTGTCGTATATGTCGGTGCTTGGAATCTGGGAATAGTATTTTGGCTTTTATTGTTGATTGCTTTTGTCGTTTGTATGCAGGCGTTGATAGAGACTTCATGGTCTTTGGCTGACTTCTTCTGGATCATCTTCTTCTAGATCTGTTTCTTCTGGATCAGTCTCTTCTGGATTATCTTCACTCAGTTGAAGATATCTATTGGTGTGGAGTGGAGAAGACTGTACTATTTCTTCGGAAGATGTTGGTTTTCTTCCGGCCTCAGCAAAAACTTCTCTCATCTGTTTTTCTAATTCTTCTTTTGATGCATTGGGATTGGTTTGCAGCATATTTCGGAGATAGGTTGGAAAGTCAAAAGAGGTATTTGCAGTATTTGGGTTTTCCTGGTATTTAGGTGTTTGTGGGGGTATTCTTTTTGGTGTGGTCTTGGTGAGATCCATTAGGAAGATATCCCACCATTTTACCGAAATGGTTTTTCCTAATCTAGGAATATAGGTATAGTCATTTGTGGTATTGGATGAGATGGTGTAGTCCTATTTCATAAAATAGAGGTGAGTGTCAATCATATTGTCACTATTATTATATTGCACAAATTGTTCCTGCAGGTTTTTGAAAGCAGGAGGTAGAACCAAAGAAGTTGAGCCCCACACTAAGAACCAGTTGTGAAACCATGTGGGGAATCTTTCGAAAATAGGCAGCCGGAATTGAAGATACCAGCTGTGTGTTGTTTGGATTTTGATAATAAAAGAATTTGTGCCAGGCTTCTATATACTCGGCATATTTAAAATATTTGTATGAAAAATCTGGGTTGTGCAATTTCTTTCCCTGTGCGGGATTGCAACCCCACTCATCATAGGGAAGAAGCTTTTTTATCTGAACTTTGGAATAAGCAATTATTCTGGTATTTTGCTGGTAGTAATGGACTACAGAGATAGACCCTGTTTTCATGAGTATGGCTTCATAGTATTATCTGGTCTTTACCCCATTGGTAGGGTTGAGGTGGTTGAGGTGGTTTAGTAAGTATAATGGTGCAAGTTTGATAGGATCCATATGAACCTGATGTTCATCTATGGTGATATCCATTAAGAAGGCTCTTTCTATGTATACAGATTTTGGGATATTTGATGTATGAGCAGACTTTGATTGAGCTGGTGAGTATGTAGGAATAGAAGCATGTGCTTCTGGATAAGTAATTTGATGTATTGGGGACTGTGAAGGTGAACGTATATTGAGAGGTGAAGGTTCTCCTTCATATGGTACTATGTTTCTCATGGGTTGTTTATCCTTGCGAGAAGTGCCACGGGATCCCATGTGGTCGGATGAGGATAAAATATCAGTATTGATTTGGTTTTCGTTGAACAGTTGGAGAGCAAGAGATAATGGGGATTCGTCGTTGGCGTCAGTGTAGCCCCCCCTGCAAAAATTCACGGGTGAGAAAGTCAGGAAGAGAATTAGAAGACCTGGGAAGGTGTTCGATGGAAAAATCAAAGGCGGACAATATAGCCTGCCATCGAGCAAATATTTGTTTAGAAACTAAATTTTGAACATCTTTTTGCAAGATATCTTTGGCTGCTTTGCAGTCAGTTCGTATTAAGAAATGTTGATTTAAAATATCACTTTGAAATTTAGTCACACAATGAACTATGGCCAATAATTCTTTTTTGACTATGGAATAATTAAGTTGAGTAGTATTCCAAGCTTTTGAAGTATAACGAAGTAATTGTTCTTTCGAATCAATTTGTTGTTTTAGAATTCCGCCAAGACCTTTATCAGATGCATCACACTCAATAATTTTAAAAGCAGTTGGATGTGGAAGGGAGAGACATTCTAGTGTCTTTACCTTTCTTTTGATTACCTGTACTGCTCGAGTATGAGTATTTGTCCATGGTGGAGGATTCTTTTTGAGTCTATCATATAAAGGCTTAGAATCTAATGCAAGGTTAGGATAAAAATCACTAACATAATTTAAACAACCTAAGAATCTTTGAAGTTCTTTTTTATCAAGTATTTGATCGGGGAATTTATCAGCAGATTGTATTGATCTATCTATGGGAATAATAGTTCCATGATGAATCATATGGCCGAGAAATCTTATATTGGTTTTGAATAATGTTATCTTTTTGGCTGAAACAACTAATCCAGCATTTTGTACTGCATGTATAAATGTGTGAATGTGTTTGATATGTTGATCTATCGATTCCGAGAATATTAGTACATCATCAATATAGACTATCATAAAATGATGGTAGGCATTAAAAACATCATTCATTATTTTCTGGAATTCTGATGGAGCATTTTTTAAACCAAATGGCATAACATTCCATTCGTATTGGCCAAAGGGAACATTAAATGCAGTTTTATATTTTATCTTGTTCTTGGATTTGTATTTGCCAATAACCAGATTTCATATCAAATTTGGAAAAGATACATGCTTGAGCAACTCTATCTAATAGATCTTTTTTATTGGGAATTGGATATCTTATCCATTGTAAAACTTTATTTAATGGTTTATAGTTAATAACAAGTCTAGGAACTCCTCTTTCCTTTTCAGCATTTTTATTAACATAAAAGGCAGCACAACTCCAAGGTGAGGAGCTTGGTCTTATAAGTTTTTTGTGTTGGAGATCTTCGATCTCTTTTCGACACATATCTAGTAAGATAGTATTCATTTGTATTGGTCTAGCTTTTGTATGTATTTGTTTTTCATCAAATCCTGGTTCATAAGGTAGACTTATACTATGCTTTTTTCTTTCCCAAAAAGCATTAGGATGTTCACTACATATGGAAGTTTCTATATGTTGTTGTAATGTTTGAATCTTTTGTTGTATTGAAGAAGTTTGTAATTGTTCTTCAATAACTTTATATTTAATTTCCTGTTTTAAGGTACAAAGAAATTTTTCTTTGTTATTTAATTGACTTTTGACACTATTGAGTTCTTTTAATTTTGGCTTATGTATAAAATTAAAATGTACTGAAATATTGTGAATAACTGAAGATATTCCTGTTTCATTTATAGTTATAGGATATAGCAGAGTAAGAAATGGAACTCCAAGTATTACTGCTTGGCTTAATCCTTTTACCATTATGAATGGTGTATCTATACATTGGTGGTTATTACAAACAGAAGCATTTGATAATTTATATCTAATAAATAATCTACTTCCATCTGCTGTATTCAGTATTTGAGTAGTTTTATCAAAATATTTTGAAGGTACGAGTTCTTCGTTGATACAGTTTAAGTCAGCCCCGGAATCGATTAAAGCTGATGTTTCAAAACTATAATCTGGAGCAATAATTATTTTGACATAGACAAACCATTTTTGAACTACTATTTTGTCTATGAGATTTACAGAGGGAAGAGGTATTATTTTAGCTTCTGATGATTCAGGGATGTCTGATGATGGATTTATTTGTATTAATTCATTAAATCTATTTCATCTGTGTCTGACTCTTGCGATGACATTTGTTGTAATTCTAAAGATTTAATTCTATTTTTTAATTGAACTATTTCAGTTTTTATTTCTTTGATTTCTTGTTTAAGATCTGAAATGGTTGGTTCTTTTTGTTGAGAAATTTGTTGATTACTGACTCTTTTCATTATTGAAGCAAAATTATATTCATCAGGGGTTCTATTAAGAGAAATTGGTTTTGCTTTATTTTTTGTAATATTAATGAATTGAGTAATAACATTCCTTTTTTCATTTGGATTAACTATCTTATCAATAATATCTAGAATGAAATTATCTTCTTGTGTAAGTGTGTGAACATTATGTGTTGGTATTGGACAATTACAATCATCATCCTTTGAGCTGGATGAATTTGTATCTGAATTATTAGTGGAGTCAGAGGAGTCTGTCCACATGAGATCATCATCTTGGATTTGATCAATTTGAGAATCAGAAGAAGTGGAAGATGAAGAATCATAATCGAATACATTATATAATTTAGTTTTTATTGATTCATCTAAATTTAATGATTCTATTTTCTTTTTTAATTTACACTGATGTTTATAATGTCCTATTTTACCACACTAATAGCAAACTGGTAATTTTTTCTTTTTCTTGGTATTGGGGGAAAATTTATTGATTAATTTCTTTTTAGATTTTTTATAATACTTTTTGTCTTTATCTTTATTTTTATTTTTGTATTTTTCCTTTTTATATTTTTTCTTCTTCCTATAGAGTCTGTCAGGCATATTGTTTTTATCAAGGTAATAACCAAATTGTTCACAAAAGTCACCAAGCTCTTTTCGCTTAGTGATTTTTTGTTTATCCAATTGTCTTTTTAATTTCATATCTGTGCATAAAGCTAAACCTTCAGCACATATTTCTGCGGAAAGTTCTCCTAGTGTATAGGATGAATAGACAATAATTCCATTATGTTTTTTCCTTAGTCTTTCCTTGACTTTTTCAGCAAATAAATATGGTAGACCAGCTATAAATTTTTCTTTCTAGTGGTCTAGCGGACAGTCTTCTCTTATTAATAATCTTGAGAAAAATATATCTTTATACCATTTGTAATGTGATAGGGTAGGACAGCGTAGATTAGATAGCAGATCTTCCGATCTTGCTGCTAGTAGAGCTGTACTGCCTACAAAATGAAGTGTAATGGTATATATTAGAGTGTTGACTGCATCACTCTCTGTGTATATTATTTCTTGGTTTTGTTCATTTCTGGCGGTCCATTGCCTAGTATTATTGAGGATTCTATGTTTGGTTTCATCATCTACATAGAAATCCCACCATCCTCTTAACCAGCCAGTAAATCCATTCACTATGGCTTTTGCAACCTCTTGATCAGGGTTGCCTGCCATTTTATTTGCAGATGCATACATAGTCATATGTCTCATAACATCCAATATTTTTAATTCTGATAATCCATCTATTTGCCAATTTACTATTGATCTTCTTGAATATGATACTACCTGTTGTATGGCATCTTCTTCCATTTGTATATCAACAGGTGTAGGTCTCTTATGATATGGTAAGGCTGTTATTGGTTTCCAGTATTTTCCATAGGCTATTATATTTATGGTTTCTGTAATAGGGGTAGTATCCATAAATGCTTTTTCTTGATTTTGGATTGTATCTTCTATGATTGGTTCTTCTTCCTGAAGCATCATTGATTCATGTTCAGGTATTTTTGCTTTACCTTTGTCAGATGACTCGGGTGGTGTATTGACAATGGGTAAAGAAGGAATAGTTATTTTTGGAGAAGGAATTCCTTTGATATCGAGTTGGGATAATTTTGATATCAATTGATCCATAAGAGATTTATTATTATCTCCAATATGAAATTTGTTCTTATTCAATTCTGGAGGTGGTTTGAACAATACTGATTTAGGTATACTTGTAGCAGAAGGTTGTTCTTTGGTAACAAGTCTTTCTATTCTTTCTGCTTGTTTTCCTAGAGATTGCATATCAAGATTAGTATAATTATTTTGTTCCACAATATGAGGTATTAACTCTTGTTTCTTACCAAGTTCTTTAGGTAAGATTTTATATGGAGTAGCAATTATATCATATAAGGATGGAGGTTGAGTAGGCTCATCCTTAACTGGGACTATTGTTTTAAGTATAAGACTTTTTTCAGGTGGATGTGTACTAGCAATGGTAGTACCATCTGTACTTAGATAGGTTTTTACTTCTATTGTTTGAATTTCATCAAATGATGAAGGGATATGAAGTTTATGTTGATAATTACTTATTAACCATAGAAAATATCCTTCTGTTTCCCTTTCTTTTTTAAGGAATTTATTATATTTAGCTTGTAATTTTTCTCTTAACTGTAATGGGATATTTGTAAGATACCATTGTCTGATCTGTCTATTTTCATTTGACATAAAATCTTGCTTGATACAATTATGATCAATTTTTTTCTTTTTTCTTTCTAATTTAGCGGCTAAATATGCTTCTATATATTCATCTGAATAGTTATCATGAAGGTTGTCATATTCTTCTACTTGTAAAGTTAATATTTGAAAATCTTATAATTCTTCGATACTGGGTTCAGTAGTATTTGTAGTACTAGCTTCAGGAGTTTATGTAGGAATAACAATATGGTTTGTTGTTCTCCTTATTCCTTGAAATTGTAGGTCTGAACTAGGTATTGAAGAAGACTGAGTAGGAGGTGGGAGTATTATGACATTTGGATCAGTAGAATAAGATTTTCTACTTGGTATTTTATTTTTAATATTCCTTTTTCTATTTATATTAATATCATCTTGAACTTGTAATTGCTGAAATTTAATTTCAATATTACCATCAGGATGTTCTATTATTTGATTCGGAATATGATGTTGGGGAACTTCTTGAGGTTGATTGGCATGTTGTAATGCCCATGACTGGGGTAGTCTAATATCTGACCATTTTATTGTTTTGGGTACAATCATATTTGATTTTTCCATATTTGTTT